TTTTCCACTTCCAACAAAACACTTCCCCTTTCTATTAAAAAACCACTTTTTACCCTTACTTTTTCATACCCTACCTATCACATCATACTTTTTCTCTAATAATCTACCCATCACATCTTACTTTTACCCATCACATCAAGGGCAAAATTGGAAATTAACTACTCCGTATAATTTAACACTTCTTTATTTTTGCCCCAAATCAAAGTGGGAAGGGTTTTTCCAAACGGAGGGGGTAACTTTTAAAAACTAAATAAATAATCATTCAAAACAAGCAAATCGTAACTCTTATTTCTAAAATAGAAGTGACATTTTTTATTTTTTAAAAATGCCAATTGCACTTTGACCATGTAGCATTGTATAGATGCATTTTACAACATTTTTTTTGGTCTTATATGTTAGTAATATTGACATTATAGGTCTTATTTTGGATTAAAAATATCAAATTTCTACTTTTGGATTAATAGTGATTCTATGGTGGACCTAAAGTCTATATGGACCGTCTCACATATTTTTAAATTTTGAAAATGTTTATTTTAACACTTGAAAATGATTATTTAACATATATGAATGTCCACCATGAACCTTATGTGCATGTAGTAATTTGCCTTGAATTAAAAACATTAAAAATCTACTTTGGTTCTTGTTTTATGTTTTATTCCTAATTTTGTATTTTCCTTTTTAAAAAGTAAATAAAGACTGAATCCGACTTGGGCCGGTCTTAACTCTTAATTGGACTATTTATTCTAAAAAAAGTCTTTATTTTTTAACGAATGCCGAAGTAGTATAAACCGATTACACAAAAAGACCGCATGTATCTCATTCTAAAAACATCCATAGCCAAATCCAAATTATCCATGCCAGCTTAATCTAAAAATCTTTTTTGGTAGGTTATTGACTAATTAATTTAGAAAGTTTTTTTTTAAAAAAATTAATTTAGAAAGTTAAGGAGGCAATTAGTTTAGAAAGTTAAGGATCGAGTACATGTTTTCATACCAAAAAGTAATTTATGCTACTTTTCAATGATGACTTACAAAACAGTCATAATAATACTCTTCATTGTCAAAAAATCAATTCAGTCAATAGTTCAAACTTATAGGCTTATTAAGAATATTTTTGTATGCTCTAATAGTATATTTTGTTTGGCATAATTTTTTTCACTTCTATTATTTGCATAAATTAAGACAATTTTTTTCTCAAAAAAAATTATGTTTATATTTATTACTCTCTCCATCCATTAATTTCTTTCCATTTTTCTTTTTTGGCTATCCAAAAATTTATTTCTCATTCCCTGTTTTACCGAATTTTTTTAATGAATGTGCAATTACACTTCCACTTTTCACCAACATTATTAATTACTTTATTTCATCTTATCAAAGACAAACATTGATAGTCTTTACTTTTTTAGGTTTTCTTAATCTCCGTGCCAACTCAAAACGTGAAAGAAATTACTATACAGAAAAAAGGGTAACTTTTTTTTACTATAAATTTTGTGAAGTTAAAATAGAATGTATATTTGGAAAGAGGGGAAGTACTACCATACGAACTCATATGGCATCGTGTAGGGGGGTAATAATTTCAAATTGATTAGCACAATCGTCCTAAAAGTGAGAAAATGTAGGTTTCGTGGTAAATACGTTAATTAACTGCACGCATTTGGTGGTCGTAGTAACTTTTTCACCATTTTTTAACACTCCGTAAAATTTGTCTTGCAATTTAATTTGTCATGCACAAAATCTAACAAAATCTCTTTATTCTACAAAGAAAATGTTAAAGCCATAAACGCACGCAAGTGTCATAAACTATGTACTCCGTAACTTTCTCTGTCTCGCAAAACATTTTCTGTTTTGACTTTTGAGATGAGAAACTGTAAAAGTATGACCAAGATGATACAACAATAATTTGTACGAGGAGGAGTTGAGAAATATCAATATGAGTAAGACGTAGGAGGTAGTTGAGGTAGATTCGGTTAGACTTTAGAAAAGTAAAGACAGTTGTGTCTATTTACACAATATTGAAATGTTTTATGTGTCAAGTAAGATGTGAAAGTTAAAAAGATTTACGGGACAAAGGAAGTACAAATTTACCATATAATATTTATCTTTTAATTATTTAAAATGTCACCAAATTAAAATCTCATACAAAAAGTATTTTGTTTTTATATCTAAAATGAGAACAGTGTGATGATATTATTCTAGCAGTGTAAATAGTGACGGTGTGAATGTGATAGTAAAGTGTGCTGGTATTGGTAACTTTATTTTTTATTTGTGTTTATAATCATCATAAGTAATTGAAAAAATTGTTTAAAGTTCCAATGATTAAAATTGGAATTCTCCATTACTTTATATAATAGTTTCTTAAATTTCATAATATTATAACATTTGAAATATATAAACAAATATTTCTTTCATCACATATCTTTTTTTCTATTTTAAATTTTGTGGTCAAGTTTTTAAACTCTCACCACGAATTACAAAAAAAAAATATATATTGAATTGTGAACCATTTAATATCGATAGATTGGTTTTGAAACATAATTTTGAAGTATTGTGTTTTTATAATATACATTTATATTCAAATAAAAATATTAATTGTTAAAGTATTGCATTGAAGTCGTGAATAGTACAATGAGAGGAAAGATACGTGAAAGTCGGGGTATAAAGTCAATGAGAGATGATTCGTGTACTAGTACGTATTTTGTATACGTTCTCAAAAGTTTTCCTTTCTTGACTTTTTTGGTCAATTGTCTACATAATTTAACTATTTATAATATAATTTTAAATAAATAAATGTCAATTTTTTTATCAAAACTATATCATAAAATAAATTCAAATATGAAAAAAATCAAACACGAACTATTTTTGTTCACAATTTATAGTTAAAGTTTGTAAATTTGATAAAAAAAATCAAAGAATAACTTTTTAGAGAGAGGGGAGTATATATGGTATGGAGTAATTCAGAATCTCTTATATCCATTTATAAACTATTCGAGAACAATAGCTAAAAAGTTCAGTGTTTTAAATTAACACATTATGTATTGTTAGACTGTTAGTTCTTCAAATCTAAAAAAATTCATGAATAATCGTTCAAATCACATGAATTGAACCATTTTATTTAAATGATTGGGCCATAAACGATTAATACACGAGAACGAGTGTAAAAAGTGTGTTGGACCATTTTAGTTACTCCGTATTTTGTTTGCACTCTTTGTAATGGTAATGTCGTCCTCGTGCATTTTAGCTTTGCATTTTTTCACTATTAATCTTAACTATTCAAAAGTTTATCTAAAACACTAACCAAAGACGTTTTTCTCAAACGAAGCCTTATTATTGACAAGTTATGAGAGTTCTTTCATAATGCTCCGTTTTTGTAATAGTGACATGGAAGCTAAAAGGAGGCGAAATTCCAAATCCTTTAAATTCTTTTTATTTAAAAACTAGTATGGAAATAAAAAAAAATAACATTTAAAAATTACGTCAAAACAGATGAGTATTGCCTGAAATTACTAGACCGACAGAATCACCTCAAGCGAGTTTTGAGATTTCATGAAAAAGAGGAAGTATGATGGAAGAGGTGAAAACAACTTTGTTTTGCACGTGTAACCTTAATTACATTTTTTTAAAAAAAATAAAATAAATAAATGACTCTGAGTCTTAAACATGTGAAGACTTTATTTACACGAGTTATTGTTTACTTCGTAGTCCGTACTTTTTTTTAATGCTACTGCTTTATAGATAAGAGCAACCATTGGCTTCTTACACTTATTAACGTTGTTTTTCTTGGCGGATTCTGACCAGCCCCTTTGGAAATTCTACTCCTTACTTGCGAAACCGAGATGGGGTTTATCTTTTTTAAATTAGAATTATACTTCCTCCGTCCTTTTTTATCTTCCTAATTATTATTAGGATCACTCGATAACTTATACTTCCTCTGTCTAAAAATGTTTTGCACTTTATGCAAAACGAAATGAAATTTCAAGCGTTTATAATTCACCTTATTTAAAGATTGGCATAAAGACTAAAATAAACTTACATATTTAAAAACTACGTCAAAAGTTTTACAAAACAAGATGTGACAATAATATTTTATTTAATAATCAAACAAAACACACAAATAAACAAAAGCTTATGTGACTTTTGAATAGTGAAGAGTGTAATACTTTTTTGGGACGAAGAAACTATTTGTTTGGATATTTTCATCAATAATTTGACAAGATAAAATATTCTCGTCACATCTTATTTTATAGAACTTTTGGTGAAGTCTAAAACAATGCAGTTTATACTTTTTTATATATAGAATTCAAAAATTAAATAAGGAGTAATTTTAGAAAAGGTAATATATATAGCGAGTTGTTTGAAATGAGAAGATAGAAAATGAACATGGGGAGAATCTCAATTTACCTCGACTCTAGACACGCTCTGACTCGTTCTAGAGACCTTTGGTAATGAATTCATCCTTTTTTCTTGTGAAATAAGATGGAATCGTCCGCCTCAGGTGCCCCCACAATCAAGCGATCCGACTTGATTGTGTAGGGATAAATCATGATAACTCAAGTGGTCAACATATGCTAGGTCCTTTTGAAACATAGTTTTGATATATTAAAATTTCATAAAATTCTATGTAATAATGATAGTTAAAGTGTTACATGGAAGATAATGAAAAATCAAATAGAAAAATAGGGAGTAATGAGTAAAAATTAAGTTTCAATCTTTAAGTAGTAATTCGAGTAACGGTGTATTTATTTAATTTTTTTAAAAAGTGTTAGAAAAACAATTAAATAAAATAATTGTCCTGATTTGACTTTTATGTTAACTTTGCCAACAAATAAAATATAATTTTAAATAAATAAAAGTGGAAGCAAACAAAATGGGAGAGGAAAAAAAGAAGGAAAATAATTTTCTTACCGTTTTAGTTAAAACATAATGACTTTCCTAATCTAGGACTTAAACTTTTTTATTTCCTAAATAAGACTTATTAATGTCTTAGTGGAAGAAATAATGTCCAATAATGATGGACATTTACTTGAATAATGACTAATTCATAATGACCAAAAGTCTTACATTGGGAAATAAAAACATATGTTCCTATATTGGGAAAGTCATTATGTTTTAGTCTTATTTAGGTAAATTGCTCCTTTCTTTTGCTTTCCTTTCGAATCCCGCGAACCAAACATAGTGCAAAGGAACTGACAAACAAAATGGGAGAGGGAAAAAAATAAGGAAAATGATTTTCTTACCGTTTTAGTGAGGAAGAAGAGGAAAACCTTTTTCTTTTGCTTTCCTTTCGAATCCCGCGAACCAAACATAGTGCAAAGGAACTCACAAAGAAAGATGGGAATGGGAATGAAAATGCAGGATCATCTCTACATTTGGCAATAGGCACCAGCTTTCCTGGACTTCACTTTCTTTTTCTCTTCTGTGCCCACTTTGGTCCATATATTGCTAGATGTGTCCGGCCAAACCGCCGATCAGATATCTGCAGGTTTTTATATGCCACCAAGAGTGAAGATATTCAGCAACATATATGCAAACACATTTCCCATCATGTGTGGAAGATGAACAAAAATGCCTTACTCTATGTTTCGTCCCAAGAATCACGGAAGAAAGGAAAAAGCTAATGAATGGAAGGGTAATTCAAAGAAACCATATATAAATATTGTTTGGTTAGTAATGAAATTGGTGAAGAAATTATTTCTCAATAACTTTTTTGTTTGGTTGTTGTAGAGAAAATAAAAGAAGACATTGTTCTTTTCTAACCAAACACAAAAGTTGCTACTCTTTTCCATTTTTCTATACTTTCAAAATTCTGTGAACCAAACATAGTGTTAATGACAATAGTCGAAGAAAAGCGCTGTCATTTAGGGTCTGTTTGGATCCCAGAAAAAAAAATCACATTTTTCAAGCTTGTTTTAGTAGAAAAGAGTGAGGGGGGATGCGTCTAGGCTAGCACGGATCAACCTCTCAAGTTTTAATCCTACTAGCTTGTGATGTACATGGTAGTATACTAGTATGGTACACATGAAAAAGGAAACTAGCCTAAAGGCATTACCTTCGGAAGGGCCCCACACGAATCTGGCATGTCCGTTCTCAAAGGGTACTCCACTACCTGTATATTATTATACCAAAATGTAAAAAAACGAAGAAAAAAATCCGAAACAATTGCTCGCGAAAGCGCCTCCACTTTTCAACCAAACACAAAATTATTCTTCCCTTTCCCCTACCATCCCTTGCATTCAAGCCAAACATACCCCAAGGAAAGGGAATACAGAGTAAAGAAGGGGAAAACACTCACTATGAAGGTATCCTCTCCCACCAGTGATGAATTTGCAACTTGATTCATCAATATGGTATAATCTACTTCCATATATGGAGGCGTGACACTGATGTAATCGAAAGCTCCACACTTTTCTGCACGAAACAGCATTGTCAAGTTATGATTCCTTTCAGAGTTGAAAAATGCTACTTTAATCTCATGGATGACACCAAGATTGGCACTGCCTGAGACAAAATGACCCCCAACATGGGAAGAAATCATTCTCTATAACGCTGACGGTGTCAACCTTGGTGTCATCTGTAGTGCGATTGTAACATGACCCTTCAGATTTTATAGTACGAAAAGAAGCCGAGAAGATAACATGGCATACCAACAAAATGAACCGCTTGCTCCAAAAAGCTCTCAACACGGACGGTATGTATAGTTGAGACATCAAGAAAACCGGTTGATTCTAAGTTTGGCCTCAGAACATCTGAGACAACCCAAGGATCCATCTCAACGAAATGCACCTGAGAGTCTTGCAGGATCAAAAGACAAACCAACAAAGTAAAGAAAGAGAGCAATAAAGATGGGAAATTTTGCAAAGATAGAGTTTACAAAATTGCCTTATATCAACACTGAATAAATTACAATTAATTCACCTTTTTACAGTAATAAATATATTTATGTCATACATTCAATTTACTAACCATTACTTGTTAAATACTGATGCAAACTAACCACTAATTGCTACAACAGTCCCAAAATGACAACTGACAAACCTGCGAGCAGCCTCTGCTCATAGCTTCAATACCAACAGAACCAGTACCACTATACAAGTCCAACCAACTGCCTGGCCTTAGAGATGCAGGGCAACCGCCTGCGACCTAAAAGTTCAACAAAAAAGTCAGAAACAGATGGAGTGTCCAGATTGATCAATATGATTTTATCATCCAAATTGAAGACAGATAAGTATGTAGTACTCCGTCCATCCAAAAAAGATGGAGAGCTTATTTTTGTCCCCAAAATAGTTTCATTTTTGTATTATTATTCATTTTTTGAAAACAAATGTCCCAAATAAGTTAAGTATATTATATTTAATGTGCTTTGAGCCGAATGGAGGGTCTAAGTCTGGTTTTGCGGCCACGAGTAAGCCTTTGTGACTGAGTAGGACCCATCTGTTCTTTCTTCCCAAACCAATGTACCACATGCTTAAAGATGCGTGCTAGGAGATACACCACAATTACTGATTTGGTCAAGGTTGCCAGTCCGAGTTTGTTGATGGTTTTCCTCTTTCACGATACAAGTTTAGCATGGAATTTATCAATAATGGAATTGAAGTCTGTTCCCTGTCGTCTTCCAGACACTAGTTCCACTCCCATGTATCTTCCAAGTGAAACTGTAAGGGTCTGTTGTTGGATGGGAGGGAATGGAAGGGGAAGGATTGTAGGGAAGGGAAAGGGGTGGAAAGGGAAAGAAAGGAATGATTCTGTGTTTAAAAGAGGAGGGGAGGGGATGTAATAACTAATTTACTCTTATTATCTTTATATATTTTTGTCAAGGAACATTGACAAAAATATACGTAGAAGTAAATTTGATGAGATGGATTAGTCATATTTTTAGCGTCCCTCATAAAAACTCCAATTCGGAGGGAATGGAGGGCCTATTTTGGGGCCCCTCGCAACTAAAACTTTAGACCAACCAATGGGAGGGATTCATTTTCCTCCTCTCCATCATCTTCCCATGAACCAAAAAGACCTTGAGAGGAATGGTGGAGTACTGTTTTTAATTTTTCTAACTTAGTTTCAAGGATATTATTTTCCGTCATGCCTGCTGGAGCCGAAGATTCACTATTTTTTGGCTTTGTGATATGATGGAATAAAGCAAATTGGCTCTCTGAACTCTCTGCGCTTTTGCAATTATGAAGTAGCAGTTGGTCAATGCAACTTTCGACGCTCATCATGGGTCATCTGGAAACAGCCGCTCTTAAACATACGGGTCAGACTGCGTACATCCGACCCCCCTCCCCTTACCCAGCAATGGGCGGGAGCCGTTGAGGCACTGGGGTAATGTTGTTGTTGTTGATGTGCAACCAGTGAGCATTTGCGAAACTATTCAAGATTTTTGTTACAGTTTCAATGCTTTTGCAAGACGCCTTATAGAAGAGGATAATGTCATCAGCAAAAAAGATGGGACAAGCTTAAGTCTGTCCGCAGGGGGGCACAATGGCTTTTTGGATTCGGAAAAAACGAAAGTTCTACTTTTGAATTCTGGATGCAACTCTTGGGATTTGGCCCCTTCTAGAAGTTCNAACTCAGTTAGAAAAGGCATCAGGTGAGGTGAGGCTTTGCTGGCTATCTACATGATGGAGGTTCGAATCCTAGATGCAACTCTTTGGATAAGGCCCCTTGTATGGTGAGATTAGTCGTGGCAAACCCTGGGTCATCCCGCGATTTACCTCCTCCGCCAACCCCAAGACAGGGGTGTGGGGGACCCTCAGGGTGCGGGTTCCACCTTTTTTTAAAAAAAATGAAATCAAACAAAGGATTGTACGGGGACCTGCAAAATATCAAATGCTGCACCTTTAACAACTTCCATCATAGGCCGGACATCCATTCCCTTGGGAGAGAGCAACTTCTTCCGTCGTACCTTCCCTCCCAAGACCTACATGACCAAAATAGTTATGAGAAAAATGACTCGAAAAAAAAACTTCTTCACGGGTATGTTTGGCACACATAAATTAGGAGCTTCTAGCTTTTCTTCAATTTGAGAAAGTCTTGGAAAGACTCTAGTGTGATTGGCAAGCAGACCTGAAGCAACCTATGTGTCTCTCTCGGGGGCTTGGTTTCTTCGGGAACAACATTCTTTCCCCTCCCCTTCTTCGTCAACTCTTTTCTCCTCTTTGGCTGTAAATTGACAATCCAAACCCTGTAAGTGAATCATGGTTATAAAAACTACTCACCCCATCCAAATTTTGGTTTTCACTTTCCAAAACACAGAGTGACTAAAATTAAAGGGATGAGGGTAAAATAACATAACTAATAACTAGTCTTTCATTGATAGCAAGAATCATAATATGTCATTTGTGAGGTATTTTTTATAATTCATTTGATTTTGTTGAGTAATTATAGAAAGATGACAATTAATTGTGGACATCAAACAAGAGATAATTTAAAGCTAAATTGATAAGACCTGAGGTGAAGGGTCAGATAAAATCTTGTCTGGATCAAAACCGTACTGTTCAAGCAGCTCAAAACTCTTCTTGTCGATTGGAACTCCGTTGGATTCTGCCAGCATAAAGTAATCAAGAATTTTCTTTTCTTTTTTTTTTTATTGTAAAAAAGATTGAATGTAAAGATTGGGACTTTATTGAAGAAAGGTAGGAGAAGAATAGCCTACTGTGTGAAACGGCGGCGGCGATTGGGCGTCGGCGATGGTTGGGTCTGGAGAGGTAGCTGATTGAAGTGGGATTGGAGTGATGGGAAACCGGGTCGTTAATGGTGGGTCGGGTTCGGGTGGACAAGGAGGACAGAGGAGCGGATGAAACCGCCATTAGTGGTGATGCGAGGTCTACCCTTAGGCCAATAAAGGAGATATAGTTTTGATGTTTTCAATATTAGATTTTTTTTTAAAAAAAACTAAAAGAGATATTGAATTTGATATTTTTTCATATATCGTAAATTTTTCAAATGAAATTTTTTGATATTTTTCGAATTTGGAAGATATCAATATGCAGATTTGATATTTTTCTCGATTATTAATCATTCTCCGTCACCACCTAACATTGTCACTGTCAACTACCTCCGTTGTTAGTAACCCCTGCCTATCACTCAATAAATCATAATTTTATCATATTGCCAAAATTCACCAAATAAATCATAATTTTATCATTTTGTGTCGTTGATGTGATTGTTCAATAAATTGAAACAAAAGACAAACATGCAACAAATTGCGGCGTTAGCCCTTTTTAAATAGTAAAATTAAGTTTTAAAAAATGATATTAGTAGGTCTTGATGGTGTAAATGATCTCGATCGAAGCATCGCTCTTAACTGGACAAGAACGATAAACTAGCCTAACAAAATATACCAAAATACAAACACATAAATTTGAACGTGAAACCCAATTGGGAGAAACTAGGAGTCTTTTTCAACATTACCTTACCAACGAGGAATTTTTATTAATATCAGAGGTGTACACGGTATGTAAGTTAGGTATGGAAGTCTTTGATGAACGAGCTACAAGCTCATGACAAACAAAAAAAATACACTATACACGAGAGAGAGAGAGAGAGAGAGAGAGAGAGTGTGAGTGAGTGAGAGTGATGAGAGGTTGGAGACCTCCCTCAATATTAAAGGCAATATGTTTTGTTATAAGGAGAAAACCAGCTTCGAAGAATATTTTATTATTCACACTCTTTATTTAATGAACCTGACCATATTGATCTTCATAAATAATTAGAAAATTTAAACCGAGTCAAATATTATTTTCCATCAGTGTAAAGGTCATAACATAACTAGATTAACGACGTATGACTTGTTCGACTCAGATAAGCAGCACCAAACTTTAGGTGCGAGAAAACCAAAAGTGTCAAATGCAAGTAGTAGAACACAAATATTGGTTGTGAAGACATGCTCTCCCGTGTTTGGTCACCAACCAACTTGGGTCGAGAAAAGTGTTTGGGCTTGGTCCACTTGTGTGAACGAACTACCTTAGCTTTCATGGGCCTTCCCAATTAAATTTCCAAACGATACTTATCCATGATCGACCCGAATAACTCACGATCGCATTCGTATTCCCACATAAATCTAGGCTTCTACACCTCAAGCCCAGTAGTCCCAAATCCCAATTGAGCCCCGCCTCCGAAATTAGGGTTTTAGAATCGCCGCGACGAGCGATCTCTCCCCAATCGGTGCTTATAAAAGAAGAATCGAGTACCCCACCAGAATCACCAGTCTTCTCCGACGATCTCCAGTTCTTATCGACTTCATCTCCTTCTCTTTCAATCCCTCTAATTTCTGTAAAATTTGTATATCTTTTTCGATCTTGAGGCGCTCAAATCATATGATGAAGAAAATACTGCAACAATATGAGTTATATTTCCATGATTCGTAGTATTTAAGTCTCTGATGATCCTCATCGAATCGAATTTCGATTTCTTCTGCTTTCGTTTCTCTCCTCTTGGTTTTTTTGTGGATTTATTTGATATGTTTGGAGACGTGATGAACAAACTATTGGTCCGTGTTTCTGATCACTGTGACTGAGAAACCAGTTTCTATCTTTCTGATCTCCTTCGGCTATGAATTATCAATCGTTTTAGGGTTTACTTGCTCAATGATTGTTTGCCCTTTGAGGCGATATACGCTATTCTGATGCTTCTCATGATAGAAAAATCAACAATCTCTAATGAGAGCTGTTTTTCAACTGAAATTTAAAATTCGTGTTGATGTCAATTTCTGATTTTTTCCTCATTTTCTTTGTTTGAAATCTGGCTTTTCTCCAAAAGATTAATGTTTGGTTTTTTTGGGTTTTGCTTTTGATTCTGCTGTGATGAATTATTGAAATTGTTAACGCATGTCAGACTTCAGAGACTTAAGTAGTCTATGAGAAGACATTTTCATTCTCTCTGAGCTCGAATTTCATTTTTTATTCCCTATTTGTAGGTTTTTCTAACTTTATAGTAGAAAGATTTGTGTTTTTTTGTTGATTTTTTCTTATTAAAAATGAAGAAATAATTAAATTTCCCCAATGAAGAATCTTAGATTTAAGTTGAGAGTAGTGAACTGAAGCATATAATGCAATTTGAGGATAGATGTATCACCTGAGGGGAAGAACTCTGTTACTTACTCTCCACATCTCTAAATTGATGTCAGAGATGATTTTTTATTATTTGTATATTTATATTTATCATTTAATAAAATAAATACATCTCTTGCTTTAATGTTTTGTTTTATATCTTTAGAGGCAACATTTGAGACAGAATTTGCGAGACAAATTCAAGGTTTTCTTTTCTGAAGCATAAAGTGAGGAGCGCATTATTTAGAGTTACCAGAAATGAGCAATTGATTTATTTTTTTTGAAGTAATACAATCAAATTAATTTTTATTATTATTAAGAAAATCTATCTATGTTCAAACTAGTTCTAAATGTATTATAGAAAATCACAGATTAATGACAGAATTAAAGAATTCCAAATTAGATTTCGATTCATAAGTATCCAAATGTTAATTAAAAATCCAATATTTCATAGAAATAGTGTCAAATTCTATGAAAAAAGTTTTACCACAATTTGCAATAGAAATGGGAAATAAGGAAGAACTAAGAATTGACTAAGAATTGTGTTCTTTAAAAAATTGACTAAGTACGAAATAATTAACTAAGAATTGTGTTCTTTAAAAAATTGACTTCCTCAAGAAATCATTTTTATCACATTAAGAACAAATATTAATCAATTTGTTTAATAAGTAAGAAATTATCTTTACATAAAAACAATTCTTTTTTCAGCACCTCAAAAACTGGCTCAAAATTCTATTCAGAGATAACAACGTAACTCAAGTCGGCTTCAAATTCTTTAAGGTAGTGATAGGGGATTTCATTTCAATATTTGAATTTTAATTCTATAATTTGAAATACCATAATTCAAATTTCATTTTGGTGTTTGGTAAACATAAAAGATTCAAAAATTCAAATGTCAAGTCCAAATATTGTTTAGAAAATTCATAATTTCAATTCTAGAATTTAAATTTTGATGTGGTAGTGAGTATTGGAGTTTAATTTTAAATAATTAATTTACAAAATATTGTAAACATAATCTAAAATATCATAATGAGCAATTGTTTCATAAACAAAGTATATACTAATGTATGAGAATTATTTTGACAAAGAATCTTTTGGTGTGCTCATTCTTTCACTTGTTATCTCCTTATCGATACCCATTGTTGCTTTGCATATTGCTCCACTCCATCCCATAACGCTCTATCCGATCCAAAGGGAATGCAAATTTGATCCTAATTATCTTTTCTATAGGAGCTTGCTGGTGAATGACTATGCATGGAAAAAAAGTATTAGGGATACAAATACCACCACCATTTTACGTAGGCTTTAGAAATTGAACCTTCTTCATCAAAGGTTGAAAAAAATAACTCATTGAATTGTTTTTTTTATTAAGATTATCTATAAGCTTCATTAGGATTTCTCTATTTCTAGATGCGTGGAAGAGTATCCAAATAAAGATTTTATGCCATAGGAATCATTAACTTGGGACACTCTGATTAGTGAAAACGAATGAACTTCTATTGCATTTGTTTAAATTTTTCTCTCTTGATGATAAAGCCGGGAAAGGTGTGCAGGTTCAAAAAATTTGGACAAATGTAGTTGTGGTTCATTGGTTATCAGAACGTTTCGAGTTAGTGATTCAAATGCTATGGGATTTTTGTTTGGGTACCCTTGCGGGCATCCAAAAATGGAGGAATTCATGGTGAAGTTTATAGAAGATTTTAACAAAGAAAAACAATATAATGAGTTATGTTTTACAACTTTTGATGAAGGGGGTTCCACTTCTAAAGCCAATTAAATATATAAAATATTTTTTCTTCTAATATATTCTGACTTCACTCTTGGTAGGCAACACCACCCTTAGCTTCTCGTTGGGCTTTTGTTCTTCATTTAATCTGAATTACTTATCTGTTATCACCATTAAATCGACAACATCTCAAACCTAATCCCTATCCATATTGAATCACAAGAATCACTACCATTCAATACTCTTTCTGCCCATCACCTCCCCGCAGAAACAAATCCAAATTGGTTTGTGGAAAGCGTTGCACAAATTGTCAGGGTTTTTTTTGGTCGCAAGTCACTCCTGTCATCCTTAGAAGGATGCCCTTCTCAATGAAGAATATATTTCCTCTGTCCGGCATTAAAGTTTACGTTTTGACTTTTGGTCATTTTTAAGGGAGGTTGACTAACCTTGTAAAATGACCAAAATACCCCCTTTCTAGTCTCCTCCTGACCCGACGGCTCAAAATCGGAAAACAGCCCATAGGCCGCCGCCGCGCTTCTCCCGCCCCTCTGCCTTCGGATCTTTGGCTCAAAATTGGAAAACCGCCGTCGAGGATGTCCCTCCTCAAATTGTTCCTCCCCCAAAACGACCGCCCACTTCGGCTCAACCTGAGCCGACCCGGATTCGAGCCCGGCTGTTCGGCCCTTCTGACCCGGCTTTCCACGACTCTCTTCCCCTATATGAGCACTAGGAACAGCCCATCGTTGTCCACCAGGGAAGCCGCAGCGTCTTGGCACGCACCATCTCGTCCTCAATTGGGGGTGGGGGGGGGGGAGAAAGAACAGGGGTCGGGAGAAAGAAAAGAAGAAGAAAAGCAAGAAGAAGAAGAGGATGGAGGGGGAGAGAGAGGATTGAAAAGATAGATCTGGCGGATGGGAGAAAGAAAAAGAAGAAAAGAGGAAAAGGAAGAAGAGGAGGAAGAGGGGAGAGGGAGAGAGAAGATTGAAATGGAGAAGGGTATTTTTGGAAGAGTGTGAGTTAAAATTAGAAATGTAAACTTTATTTTCGGACGGAGAAAAAGGAGAAACGTAAACTTTATTTCCGGACGTAAATTACCCAACAAGGGTTGTTCTACGGAGACAGACAGCTCTTTATTTTGCAGGCGAAAAATTAGGGGTTCGAGCTCTTTGAAAAGAATGGCGTGCGTCTTGTTTCTTCGTTTGAATTTGATGAATGTTCAAAAAGAATGGTGTTCCTTTACTCGATTGATTATTTGGTAGATTAAAAAAGAGTGGCGTCTCCATCAAAGAAGAAGAAAATTTATTTGTTGTAGTGTTCAGATGACACTTGAATAAAAATAGTTTGTTTATGTCTTGAGCAGGGCATTTGGAACTCCCATACTCCAGCTTGAGGGGGGTGTTGGCGTATTAGAAGAAGGAAATTGAATTCTGTTGGGATTCGGTTTAGTATCTTTTTTGGTTTATTTAATTCTTATTTTTGTAGGAATAATATTATGGTAGAAATAGAAGTTTACTTATTTGCTTTATTCTCTTCCTATATAAAGAGAGTTAGACAACATTGTCTTGATGAGGCTTGTGGAAACGATGGTGTTGCACATCCAGTTTGCCATCCACAAGCTGGTGACGAATGAGATGGAAGAGGAGATTGTGGCGGGACTGATGGAACCGAAGGGCGGGGGAAGCGTTGAGAGGATGGTGTTGAATGAGTCTCCGGAGGTGGCGGAGAAGCGCCACCAGTTAACGAGGAGTGTGAAGCAGGGTCGGCCCAAGGGAGGGTTAAGGAGGCCAAATGGACCGGGCCTAACATTTTAAGGGGCCTAATTTTTCATAGAATTATTATATATACACAATATACTTCAATAAAAATAAAAAATCAATTGGCTAGAGTGAAAATTAAATTTTATTTTATTTTTCAATCTGATCTGATTGTGTCACAATGCATTTGTTCCTTCACGTTCAGTGCCACAATGCAAGAAGAAAATTAAATTTTATTTTAACAAAAAAAATTTTTTACACAAAAAACCATATTTTTTAAATTAGTATTTTTAAATTGAATACTTACATAGATACTTAATATTTATAAATTAAAATTATACAATTTAAAAATTATTGTAAGTAGTGTACTATAAAAGTGAAATCAATATATGTTAACTAAATTATAGCAAGGGAAGGTTGGAGATAATAATGCAAAATGACTTGCTATACCAACTTTCATATGCTAAAAAATGACTTTTGCAAGTCGTGTTTAGCAAATGTAGTTAGAAATGTTCTAAATACCAACAATGCAATTTTCTCTTTTTCTTACGATGAAAATCCCAATAATGCAATTTTCTCTTTTAAACTTACTATTTTTTCAGTTAAGTAATATACTCATCGATCACACACCATGGGATTACAAAATTTTAACAAGGTTATTTTCAATTAACTTATATATTGTTGTAAAACTCAAAAATAACACTTATATACTTGTCATTTACAAAAAAAAAAAGAAGAAGAAGACATTCTTTATTTATCAAATGAATGATTTAAAAACAGGAAAATAATGTGCGGATAAAGTCACATTCTTCAAATAGTAAATGAATTCGTCTAAAACGGTAAACTATACATTCAACAATAAATTGAAATTGGAATGAGCCACTTCTAATTGGCATTCTATTTGGGGGTGCGGTTGAAGGCGGTGGACGAGTGAGTTCGTGTCGAGCTAGAATAAAGATGATTGAAGAGTTGTAAGACCTATCAATTTCTTAAACAAATTATTGTAGGGCTAAATTACAGGAATCATTTGGCCTAGCCTTGATATTAATCTTATTATAGAGAGCAATTCTCATGACATTAGTTTCCAATATCATGGGATGGTTCGGAAATCTGACAGTGCTTCATTCGTAAAATTGATAATTCTTTTCTTCTGAATTGCACCCTTAATATTTTTCTTGATATTAGAGTCCAAACAAGTGTACATATTTATTGTTGGCTTTTGGTTCCAAAAAATGTACAAATTTTCCTTGAAAGTGTAAAAAGAGAAAGAGGACATGTGAAGAATATATGTGGTAGATTTAGCAATACTCTTTTTATAAATATAAAAAAATGAAAAACAAAGATGGATGGAATAAATACATTGGACCATGCTACACTTACACTAAAAATTATACTTCATTTGTACACCGGAGTTATATACAAACATTTTGATGGTTTACACCGACACAAATGTTGGTGCGTTAACAAAAATTTACACGGACACACAGTGTTGGTGCTTTAACAAAAATTAGTTTTACACCAACATAAAATGTTGGTGCAAACCTGCGGGGTACAAAAGGTTGGGGTACAAGTAGCTTTATCCAAATACATTAGAATGGAAGAAGTATTTTGGCAAGTGTTAAGGGATAGAAAAATGTTAAGGGTACACCATAGGTGTACCCCATTTGTCCCCCACTCCCTCCATAACCACAAAAAAAGGCAAGATACTAAAAAAAATTAAATAAATAAAAATAAAATAAAATTGAGTGTTGGAACATGCATATTTAAAAATTATTAGTGTATACACATTTAAAAGTTATGTAATGTTTAATAAAAGAAAATAGAGTGCATAAAGAAATGTAGTTAACAAAAATTTCAAAAATTTTAAAGAAATGTAGTTAACAAAAATTTCAAAATCACAAAGAAAAATAAAGATTAATTAATTTAAGATTTTAATAATTTTCGTGACTCTATAATGATAACTAAAGTTTATATCGATGACACATTTTTTAATAAACTGTAACATTAATTTTTTTTATTTTTTGAGATACTAATAATAATGTATTTTAAATAAACCTAAATATTTTTTAAAATAATTATTGAAAGAAATTGGAAAAAGTGAGAAAAACTGGAAATATTCCGAGGGAAATAGAACGAGTAGAAAAAAACTGAAAAGAGTTGGAAGGAAATGGAGGAATTAGAAAAAAACTGAAATGAGTTAGAAAAATAAAAAGAGCTTGAAGAAACTGAAAGGAGTGAAAGAAACTGGAAGGAGTAAAAGTTATGAGTTTTTTTACGGCAGAACTTAAGAGTCAACGCTAAAAAGAACAGAGTTTTAACACCCCCTTTATCCCAATTTCCCAATTTAATTATAATACGAAGTAATAATTATAATAGTAATAATAATAATAATAATAATAATAATCATAATAAGAGTAAAAAATGTGGTCCTTTGTAATTGGGATGCGTTTTCTATCATCTAAACTATGAATAAATCCTCAAAATAATCCTTTTAAATTAAGCGGGTGACTGTTAGAGGAATAGACCCACCCCAAGTAGGCTCATGTACTCAGTTTCTAGAAAACAAATAGTTAAAAATTATCACTTTGGGAAATATTTACTCCGTAATTATAAAAGAATATTTTGAGAAAAATACTTTAAGTCTAGATGATAAAAATGCCAAAATATCTTTAATTTGACTGACATTTTATAAACATTTTTGGGAGAAAATTTTTTAAAGAATACATCTCAATTACAAAGAACTATATTGATATTTATTATTTATTGAAGACTAATTTAAAAAATACATTATTAGAAATGACCATTTTAGAAATTTAATCCAACCATAATATGGAGTAAGGTGGTAAGCATATTGGGGTCATGACAAAGAAATCAGTCCTAATCTTTTCACATCCAGTGTTCCAGCGTATTTTGGGAGCCACTATACAAGCTGTCCAAATCAAGAAATCGATTGGGAAAAAACCCTAAATATGACTAAAACATATCAAATATACTTAAATAGGATTCCAAAACTTAAATTCTCCAAATAGGACTTAATTTGCATCGCCATACCCAAAATACCCCTCGCCATTTGTGACACAGAACCATTTTATTCCTCACTGGTCGCGCTACATGTCCACAAGACCACAAGTACTTGAACCACATGTCCACATGTCACATTACCATAGTACAAACTCTATTTTGAAAGTAAAAAAAATGGAGCTCCGATGTTTGTACTTTCTCTAAAGTGGGAGTAAAAAATGAAAATATAACAAAATAGAATTTAATTTTTCATGTTTTTATTTACAAAATTTGAATTAAAATGCATTTACATTATCAAGCATGACCATGTACATTACAATAAATGCCTATGTAGAGTGAAAGAATTATTTAGGAGGAAATTCTCTGTATTTCTCTCTCGTGTTTACAATTTACAAGGACATATATATAGAATCTCACAAGATGAGACTCCTAATCAGTAAAGGAAAAGGAAAAGGAAAGAATCCCTATACAAGGAAAACTACCAAAACAATATATACACAAATATCTCCAAATATTCTACCAAATATTTTCTTTCCTTTAACACCCCACTCAAGTTGGAGCATGTAGTAACGAAATGCCCAACTTGGGAAGAAGAAACTCCAAGCGTGACTTTCCGAGTGCCTTTGTATGAATGTCTGCAAGCTGATGCGTAGTAGGCACATGAAGTGTACGAATCTCTCCTCGCAAGAGCTCATCACGAACGAAGTGACAATCAATCTCAATGTGCTTCGTGCGTTCGTGGAAAACCGGATTAGCAGCAATGTGAAGTGCTGCCGTGCTGTCACACCGGACCGTCATGGGGTCCTTATGCTCAACCCCTAAACACCGCAAAACATTCTTCAACCACTTCAACTCACATGTAAGGACAGCCAAAGCTCTATACTCTGCTTCAGCAGACGAGCGAGCCACCGTCGACTGCTTCTTTGTTTTTCATGAGACAGGCGAGTCTCCAAGCTGCACAAACCACCCTGTCAATGACCGCCTCGTCAAGAACACGCTGCCCAGTCCGAATCACACCATCCTGTGAGTTGAAGACTACTCTCTGCTGACAGAAAAATGCCCTGACCTGGACATCCTTTCAAATAACGAACAACTCTAAGGGCCGCAGACCACTGATCCTCCCTTGGTTCCTTCAAAAACTGTGCTAAAGTGTGGACGGCGTAAGAAAGTTCTGGTCGTGTAACAGAGAGATAGACCAACATTCCTACCAACCGTCGATATGGTTCTGGATCTGCAAGGACCGGGGCTTGGAAACGAGCCAAGTGATGATTTGGCTCCATCGGGGCACCCAACGGCCTGGCACCTAACAACCCCGCCTCAGTGATGATATCTAAGGCATACTTTCGTTGGCAGAGAAAAATCCCAGACGTGCTCCTCGCCACTTCAATGCCAAGAAAGTATTTCAGTGTTCCCAAGTCCTTCATATGAAAACAATCTCCGAGATAGGCTTTGAACTTGCTTACAATCTCTGTATTATCTCCAGCAATAATCAAATCGTCAACATAAACCAAAACATGTATGACTCCTTTCTTTCCAACAAAAGAAAATAAGGAGTAATCAGCAACAGATTGAACAAACCCATAGCGTTTTAAGGCTCCAGACAACTTGGCAAACCAACACCTTGGAGCTTACTTTAAGCCATACAGAGACTTCTTAAGTTTGCACACCACATTAGACGAATTCGAGAAACCAGGTGGCAATCTCATATACACCTCATCTTGAAGATCTCCGTTAGAAATGCATTGTGAACATCCATCTGATGCAATTCCCACCCCTTAACTGCTGCAATTGCTAAAAGCGTTCTCACAGTGGTCAACTTGACTACAGGAGCAAATGTTTCTTTGTAGTCAAGTCCTTCAACCTGATGATTGCCAAGTATAACAAGTCTGGCCTTATATCTCTCCACACTTCCATCGGACTTGCGCTTGATCTTATATACCCATTTGCAACCAAGGGGCTTTTTATGGCGTGGAGGAGAAACAAGAGACCACGTCCCATTAGCCTCCAGTGCATCAATCTCCTCTGTCATAGCCTTCCTCCATCGTTCATCCTGGAATGCCTTCTTGAAACTCGTGGGCTCCACTCCAGCATCAAGTGCGCTAAGAAAACACTTGTGTCTGTAAGAGAACTTCTCGTGTGTGACATACGAGGCAAGAGGATATTTGCATTTTTCACCAACATGTGAGCCAGCCACATGAGTAACATAATCGGCAAGACGTACATTTGGACGTTTCTCACGTTGACCACGTCCCAAGTTCTCCACCGCCTGCTGGGAAGAGGACGGTCGACTGCCGTCCGTGGAACGGTCCACGGGGTCGACCGTCTGAAGCTGTTCCGGATCGCTAACTATCTGCCTCAACGACGGTCGACCGTCTTCCTCATAACGGTCGACCGTTTGATCATCTCCCAAAGAACCGTCATTCTGCCTCTCGGACGGTCGGCCGTGGATATCAGGACGGTCCACCAGGTCGACCGTTCGGTCATCTCTCAGGAATCCGTCATCCTGCCTCTCGGACGGTCGACCGTGGACATCGGAACGGTCCATCAGGTCGACCGTCTGTAGCCGATCTGCTCTGCCGCTTTCCTCCGGTCGACCGTTCCTCCTGGAACGGTCCATCCGTTCTTCCGTCCGCAGTTCTTCATCTTCATCATAAGAGCTAACCTCATTTGTAGTTCCTGTATCAAGAGATGCACCTGTAGGAGTCAAGAAAGGGAAATATCTTCACAAAACACAACATCCCGGGACACTTTGATTTCACCAGTGTCCGGGTAGTAAATACGCCATCCCTTCTTCCCTTGTGGATATCCAACAAATATTCCAGGAATGCTTCTTGGTGCAAATTTATCGCCATTCCTTTTCAAGTTATGAGCAAAACATCTGCATCCAAAAACACGTATATGAGCCAAAGAGGGTGACTTTTCATAGATCTTCTCGTATGGTGTGACCCCCCCTAGCAAAGACGAAGGTGTGCGATTGATCAGATGTGCGGCGGTCTGTATACATTCGCCCCAGAACTCAATCGGAAGACCAGCCTGAAATCTCAAAGCCCGACCCACATTCAAAATGTGTCGGTGCTTGCGTTCTACTCTCCCATTCTGTTGTGGAGTAGACACACAAGACGTCTCATGAATAATTCCTTGCTCCTGGAAATATTCGTTTAGACATTCAAATTCTGTGCCATTATCACTGCGAACACACTTTATTTTCTTCCCAAATTGTCGTTCTACCATAGTACAGAATTGTTTAAAAACAGCACCAACCTTGCGTTTGGAATCAAGCAAATGTACCCAAACACCTCTTGAAAAATCATCCACAATGGTCAAGAACATTGTAGAACCATCAAAACTTGGAGTCCTATATGGTCCCCATAAATCACAGTGTATCATATCAAATTTATCAACAGATTGATAAAAACTTATAGGAAAACTCCCACGAGTCTGTTTAGCACGCAAACAAATGTCACAACAACTGTGACTACTCTTACTTGTTCCAACTTCAGGAACAAGAGACAAAACATGAGAGGAAGGATGTCCAAGTCGTTTGTGCCAAAGGTCAAACTTACTCTCCTTCTTCGCACTGCACACCATCTTCTTTTCAGGCTCCTTGAAGTAATAAAGTCCTCCTTCCTGCTCACCCATACCAATTTCTGTCTTCAAACACAGATCCTGTAGTATACACTTATTGTTGGCAAAACGTGCCTCACAATTCGAATCCCTTGTCAATTGTGACACAGAGATTAAATGGCAACTCAGAGTAGGAACATATAGGACATCGTGCAGAATTAATGTTTCTGTTAATTTAATCTTCCCAGACTGTACAGAAACAATTCTTTTCCCATTGGGCAAACCAATCTCACATGGTGATATTCCCATGATATCATGCAATAACGAAATATCACCAGTCATATGATTCGATGCCCCAGTATCTATGATCCAACGCGGTGACACAGGAATACCTGAAAGCTTCATACTAGAAACACACGATGATAGGGAGAAAAACATCTTCCTTGGTTGTTCATCGGCCATGGCGGTAGCAGAGTGGCGTACGACGGTGGCGGAAGAATCAACAGCAGCATCTATCACACAATCTGCCGACGGGACGGTCGACGTGCTCGACCGTTCAAGAGCGACGGTTGACCGTTCCGTTGTCTGGTAGCAACAACAAACGACTGAAACTGAGCAACGATCGATGGACGCCATGCCGGGCGATCGTGAACAGTAGTCGCTGAAAATCTCTAGGGTTTTGGCTCTGATACCATGAAAAAATTATTTAGGAGGAAATTCTCTGTATTTCTCTCTCGTGTTTACAATTTACAATGAGGACATATATATAGAATCTCACAAGATGAGACTCCTAATCAGTAAAGGAAAAGGAAAAGGAAAGAATCCCTATACAAGGAAAACTACCAAAACAATATATACACAAATATCTCCAAATATTCTACCAAATATTTTCTTTCCTTTAACAGTGTCATATTACCACAATGCGAACGTATATTTAGAGAATTAAAACATGGAATTCCTATTTTAACACTTTCTCTATATTTTATTTCTTTAAGCATTAAGTGATTAAACACAAAAAGATAAATGGGTCAAACAAGGAAAAATGAAATATAGAGAAGAAAAAAGGTGGCACTTGTATGCAAAACAAGAGGAAGGAGAGGGAAAGAAAACAAAAAAAAACAAAAACAAAAAAAGGGACGAAAGAAAAAAAACTCAAAAAGAGACGAAAACAAAACAAAGAGAAAGGAGATGGAGGCCGGCAGAGTTAACACAGAAGAGAGGGCAAAGGCAACAAGGGTATAATTGTAATGTTTGGTCCTATTTTGAGGATAAAAACATAGAAGTCCTATTTTGGACATAAATATATGTTTTAGTCCTAGTAAGAGTGATTTCTTAAATCCATTCACATAACACGCCATATCTAGATGTAAATTTTAGGTCACTATTTTAATAAATGTGCTTCCATCCTTTCCCACACCGTCTTTTACAAGGATTGGCTATATTCTTTATATTCTACCGCGTCAAAGAAAGCCATCGTCATGACCGTTAAATTTAGGATGACTAAAAACTTTACTTTATGACTGACTAAGAAAAGATGGAAGCATTCTATTCTTTCAAAATTATTGAACTAATTCTAAAAAAAGATTTCTTCCATCTTTTCTTAGCCAAGCATAGACCAAAAGGTTTTTTAATAGGTATGAAGCCCCCTTCATTTTTTATATTTTTAAATAAACATTTTCTAAAACTGAATTAATAAAATTTAATTATTTCATTATTTAATTATATTGAAACGAGAATAATTAAAAAATTACATTCATTAAATTAAAAGAAATGAAAGCGACAATAATTTAAAAAATTACATTCATTAAATTTAAAAAATTTAAAGTGACAATAATTAAAAAAAATACATTAATAAAAAAACTAAGCTAAATTATATTTAGCCTTGATCTCTTTTTTGTCTTCTCTCAAAGATCATACGTTCGAAGCCCAATGACGTATCAAGGTCGCCTTCCATTATTTCGATTTCTTCCTTCTCTTGCTTTCTTCTCGCCCTCTCTTCTTCTCGAATATTGAACATCCGAACTTGTTCAACCATTGCCCGACTGATATTGTCGTGAGAAGAAACGGAAATAGAGCCGGACCCTCCAGAACCCGAGGCAATGGATTTTGCCTTCTTTCTTCCGATCGGCCGTGGAATGGGGTCCTCGTCATTAGAATCTGCAACGCTGAAGGGAGACCTTTGTTCAGACGAACCGATAGTGTCATCGACCTCAACCTCGGTGTCGACGGAGGATCTTTTCTTTGAGGATGTGGCATCAGAATTGTTGAGTTGTTGCCATTTCGGTGAACGGCTTAAAATCCTCCAAAGATCGATGGGCACCTTGCCTTGGTGCCCGTCATCTTGATATCGGGTCGCGGCAAGCCGAAAAACATCAGCGTCGTTCGTCTCGCTCCTCCGGGACCGAGCGCATTCCTCGTAAACTCCGATAAACTTTTGGACTTTACAGTTGATGTGGCCCCATTTAGAAGTGAGTTTGTCCTGGGTACGGTACGAGGTGTCTTTGTTCATCGCCGTAAAGAACTTTTCCTCGATATGATCCCACACCGCATCCTTTGTTTGCTCCGAACCTTTAAAAAGTATATCACGAAATTTTTTTTAACACAAATATATAAGACGATTATATAAATAAAAACACAAATATATTAGAAAACATATAATTTTTACCAACGATAGGATGCTCGGAGACGTCAACCCAAGCCGACGCCTACAAGCACTCTTCCTCCGGCGTCCACTTTTGGACTGATCGTGCCGCCTCGGTCATCGCTTGAGTGCCTTTAGCTTTCTGGCTCTTCCGGCGTGCACTTTTTTTTGGTGTCGGATGGTTCCGGTTGAGTCTCCGGAACCGACTCCCGCTCATAGACGTACCCCGATGGTTGCGTCTCGAACCACGTTGGTTTACTCCCGTATTGTTGAAACATCCACATGGCATGCTTGTTAGGCTTGAGATCGTCGGAGAAACAACCGGAGTCGGAGGAATTCATGTTGAAAAGAGAATTGGAGAATTGAAGAACTGAGAATTGAAGATGTGAAAAAGATTGATGAGAATTGAAGATTGAAAGATGTAACAATTGGAGATAACTTTGGAATTTATAAAAAAAAAATTAAATTTTTTTAAATGTTGCAACGGCTAATTTAGCTGTTAGGGGGGAGGGGGGAGTGCGTCAAACATCTGACACAGAGAGAGTGATGCCCGATTGAAGCCCTAGGGGGGGCGGTGTTTAATGCCCCGGGCGTCAAAATGGTGCTTGACGCCGGTGGGCGTTGCACCCATTTCCTTTGACATCATGGTTTGGTTTAACAGTGCAAAAAAAAGATCGCCCACAACTGTCTAACATTCTATTTTAAGGATATTATTATGACAGCACATAAAGATTTACACTGGGGAATGATAACAAAACAATAAGCATTGATGGAATCCCACACTGTGTTTCAAGGCCACCCCTACAAGAAACTGCCCAAACTGGTCACTATATATATATAAGGTTACATCTCAATTCGAGTCCCCGAATTTGCCTTCTTCGTGTCGGGATGGTTCGTGCGGTTACAGCTGGCAACAACGGCTCGTCGCGGGGTGTTAGGACTCGACATTCAAGAATCTCCCGAACCGGGCAAAATCTGTAATATTCGGAAGTTGGAGGACTTGGACTGATACATATAAACTACTACTGTCATTTGCACTGCCGAGGCCGGAAATTCTCATCGGACAAAAGAGATCCGATCAGAGTTTCCAGCCTCTTGGCCCCCGCAGTGGGCCTAAGAAGCGCCACGTCACCCACCACGGAGCACGGGTGGGTCCCGTTCCCCGCGCACCACCCGCCCGGGACGAGCGCGTCCGGGGCCCGCGACAAGAGGTCCGAGTCGATCCTGTCGAGGACGGGATCGTCGCGGTGGAACTTCCTCGCGAAAGGGGCGTTGCTGTCCACCATCTTCTTCATGTCCTCAAGGGTGAGGTAGTGGGGGTGCTGCTTGGGAGGGGTGTCCCACGAAATGAAGTGGAGGTCGCTGTTCACCGTGGTGTTCTTGAACTCGGCCGCGTTGCATATGACCGTGTGGAAGTAGCCCTCTGGGGAGGACAAGAAGTTGGCGTAGTACATGAGGACGGTGCGCGGCAAGTTGTCCCATCCCCATACACAGAAGTCGACGAAGGGCCGAGATAGGACCATCCAAGCTGATCCTGTTTTCCAAAAATAGCATTCTATAATAAGAATTACATCCAAACAAGTCCTATAACAATAGATACACTATAAGAAGCGTTAGGCGCTAAGTGCGTGTTTGGTTTGAAGGAAACACGTAAAGAGCTATGTATTTGGCTGATCTGGTTCTCTCCAAACAGACCCTAAGACTGCAAGAACTATAAAAAAGAGAAACTTCAAGACTATAACAAAAAGAATAAAAGAAAGAACAAGAAAAAGTGGTGCAAATCATCACCTGTAAAGAGTTTGAAAGCAGTAGGAACACTTCTTCTCTGTGTAATCCAGAAAACATCAGCCTTCTTCGTCATATACAACCCCGGATCAATTATAATCGGCTTTGCTCTCTGATACCTTCATCAACACAGAATGCATAACCTCCCAATTAATGAACTAATCAATCCTTAAATTCCCAAAAATGTATCATTACTACAACAAACCCAGTAAGATCCCACAAAAAGAGAGGTTGTTACCAAGAGACCCTCGACTCAAAACCAAAAGTATGTACAAAGAAGCAATTGTAGTACAAATATAGACAAAAGAATCATACAAACAAACCCCAATAAGTTGGGAACAAACCTAAACCACCAACATGAAAACAAACCAACATAACCTACAAACTAAGGCCAGGTCTACCCAGCAACTTTAATCTTAAATCACCAATGGTTCCCATCTAATCCATTAATTGAGGAAAAAACAAAACATGACAAAGATAAATACTTACTCTTTCCAGCCAATGTTGCTAGTATGATCAATGAAGTTAAGATCTCTTGGCAAATGCGAAAATGCATAAAGCAAATCTGAAATAAATCACCCAAAGAACAAAAAAAAGTCTTGTAATGATCAAAAATAGATTTTGAGTGGTCTCTGCAAAGATTTACAAAGAGTATACAAACTGCATTACCATCTTGAGTGACTAAAGGGTAATCGGAAGCACTGAGATTGATAAACCAGTCCCAATCGCCGCCCTCCTTCAACAAGATGGCGGCAGCTTGGAGGGTGTTGGCCACCATTGTTGGGCCCCGGTAGGTCACAAGATTCGCCTTGCTGATCATCCTCACATTTCTCACGGCGGAGAAGATCGGTTGGTCCCTGACATAGTTGCTGAGATCGAGCCGCTCTTCCGGCGAGGATTCTGCGTCCAGATGGACCACGTACTGGTTGTTGGGATGGTACAGAGCCTGAAGGGTGCGCCTGAGCATGGTCCCGTCGCCGGCGGAGCCGGAGATGAGGTAGGCAATGCGCGGCGGAGGTGGGAGAGTGGAAACCCCTAAAGGTCGGAGCTTTGATTCGATGAAAACCGACGCGGCGGAGGCGGAGGCGTAGTAACTGTAGAGCGGCAGAAGAGGGGTCCCGTCGGAGGAAGTTAGGGTTGTAAGAAACAGGAGAAACAGAGAAATAATTGCCCCAATTGCCAGCGGGAAGATCCATTTCCGCTCCATTTTGTGGGGTTTTCTCAGATTCAGATAGTAGTTCTTCAGCTTCTTCATCTCTTCCCCCAAACCAAGAAGATCAATTCTTCGCAAATACCCAATTTAAAACAGAAATTAAAAGCCTCCCCTCTTCTTCTTTCCGCTCAAAGATTGAATCTTTATAACCAGCAGCGCATTTGATCTACGAAGAACAACACAATGCGTGGAATAATCCGCTCCGAAACACTATCGAGTGGGGGGAGGGTTTTTTTCCAGAGGAGGAAGAGAATGAAATTTCTGGGTTTCTAGCAAAAGTCAAGAAATTTAATGCCTTTTCTTGAATTTCCGATCTTCCCATCCGTCCGTGACGGGGAAAGATCATCTGGAGTCTGTCAATAGTAACAGTCCGGATTTGATCTCACCGATTCTTTGAGTCGTTTCAAAGATTTGTTGGGTTCACATTTTGTTGCTTTTATTTATTTTTCTTATCTGGTTTATTTATGAGGGCCGGTTAATTTTTGGTTCAATATTGATTGTGGTTAGGAGTTTTGTTGAATGCAGGTTCCAATTTCACGTGATGTCTTTGCAATTACGGAGTATTGTGGGAAACAAGTTGTTCACCTCACCAATGTAATTTTTTTACTTTGTTCTCATTAAAATCAAATCTAATACGGAGAAAGACCCAATCTAATAGGGTTCTTTTTCTAAATACTCTAAAAACTGAAAATATTTATCATTCTACTTCAAAACGGATCGTATTTAGTAGTTTGCCTAGCAAAAAAATTCGTTATTCTCGTTTTGGTGAGGCGCCATTTTTCATCGATTTTCTATCCCAATCGATTGCATACTCTGTCGCCGCTGCTCGCTGTTTGTTGCCCGTTGTTCGCCGTCGAACCACTCTGCGCGAATGCGGCTCTCATCGCGCCTGTCATCGTTCGTCGTCTTCCGTTTGTTCTCCGTTGTTCGCCGTATTTCATTTGTCGTCGCTAATTGTTTAAGGATCTTTCAACGTAAGTACACATTTATCTAATTGTTAGAGTAAGGATTGCATAATTAAACATAGCTGACATAATCGAAACTGTTAGATTGCATAAAGGGTCGACATAATTAAAGTCGATTCAACACTATCTGACTAGTCGACGTAATTAAAGTCGATTGTGTCGGATTGTTGGCAATCAAAAATCGATATCTGAAGGGTCGACATTATTAATGTCGAAATCTGATTTGCGATAGAGTGTAGTCAACATTATCTGATTATGTCGATGTATTTGGTCGCTCTAGATAATACATGACATCATCATTGAGTCGACATATATTTTGTATGTTTTCGACCATAATTTTTTGTGGATTCTAGTTTGAAAACTTTCGATATAAATAAACATAGCAGACGCACATCGATACGTGTCGACACCTAGAAGGGTCGACATAATTAAAGTCAAAATCTGATTTGCGATAGAGTGTAGTAAACAGTATTTGATTATGTCGACGTATTTGTCGCTCTAGATGATACATGACATCATCAATGAGTCGATGTATATTATGTTCTCGAAGACAAATTTTTTTTGTGAATTCTATTTTGACAAGTTTCGTTGTACTTATATCGACATTATGAATTATGATTGTGTCGATGTATATAAATCGACACAGTAAAAAGACATTTACATATTTAATTCCATTTTTGCATGCATATGGCCTCTCTTCTGTCTCTCTTCATTCACTGTGGTGGTAAATGGAATGAAAATGACAAAAGTGAAATCCAGTTTTAAAAGAAACAATCAAAGTAAGACACAAGTGATCGAGTGTGAAAGATGTAATGAAGACTTCAATGTCCTTCTCATGTGTATTTATCGTCGTGCCTCTGTCTTTTCTATATGATTCCCATCGCTTTCACTCTTGGAGTACGACACAGAAGCATTCTTCGTCCTCTTGAGATCTGGGACTTTGGGTGGAGCGGGTTTCGTTCAACTTTTTATAGAAGTAAAAGCATCTTTGAGGATAATATTCTGTTATTCTTCTGTTTAACTAAACTAATTTGGTCGGATTGTTCTTCATAAATAATTGAAAAATGTGGGCCGTTGCATGAATTATTTTCCATCAAACTCCTATTTCAAAAATAAAATTAGTATGTTTTCAATTTTTGCTCCTATTTTAGTTTTTCTGTTTCAAAAATAATTGTCATTGATTAGACATATCAAAATTTTATTAAATAAATTAATTCGAGAGTCTTCAAAGTGAGTTTGAGATTTAAAAGGCTTCCTTTCAGGCTTTTTTTGTCCATGGCAATGATATGGTAGAGTTTGAAAAAGTGAGTTTTGAGATGCTCAAACTCTTTCAAGACACCATTTTGCGATGCCATTACTATTGCTATATCATTGCAGATTAAGAAAATGGTCTCAAATAATATAAAAAATAAATATTTAAATTTATTATGGTATGTTTGTAAATTTTGTGATCTTATTGTTCATAACTTTAACATTTCTCATTCCAATTGAAGAATAGGAATGACAACTACCCCCTCCATTTCGTGTTCTAGTTCTGATTTCTTTATTTATCAATTCTGGTTCTAATTTTGGTAGAGTTCCAGGCTTCCAGTACCATAAATTCTAAGTCCGGTATCTGTTTGGCACCGTAAAACCTTATTCTTTTGCGTTAGAAAAATTAACTCCTAATTCTTTCAAATTCCATACAATTTCGTCAACTCTTTTCAGTTTCTTCCAACAAGTTCTTGCTTCTTTCAATAACGACTTAAAAAGTATTTATATATGATGAATATAAAATAAGATTGTGTATGCAAATTTCAAACATACCACATTAAACACGGGCGAAAATGATTTCTTTTTTTAGCCAAAATTAGAATTTGTTAACATATTTGTTAACATATTTATTTGAATGGTCATTTAATTGAGTAGTTTTTTAATACTTTAATTCTTTTAACATTCCCAACTCCTTTAACTATTTTCTAACTCCTAACTTTTTTCAACCCCTTCTGATTTTTTCCAATATCTAACCCTGAAATTCCAACATAAAAGAACACGACTTAAGCATAGAACAAACCAAGTTTCATTAGCAATTCATGTTCTAATATGTTTCTCATTTTTTATAGAATAAATAAATTTAGCCAAAAATATGACTAGATATTTGATTAAGCAAAAGATAAACATTTCTTCTTACAAAATGAATTTTCTATTACTCCTTCGTTTCTAAAAGATTACGACAATATGAATTTTGTGGTCACACTGTAGTATTTTTTTACCATAAATTAAGTATAATTTAAAATCTTTAAATATTATAAAATTTGATATTGGAAACTACTACCTCCGTCTAGAGTATTTGTCCACTTTCATTTTTACACATCATCCAATACACTTCTTTAATCCATTTTATCTTGTAATTTGTATATTAAAAAATTATAGAAATTATATATTAATAATCTATATGTTACAAATCAAATAAGATTACACATGACTATATTTAGGCTTACACATTGAGAGAATTTGATGAGTCAAAGTGCTTAGATGAACAGTTCCAAAAGTCAAAACTGAACGAATATTCCGGGACGGAGAGAGTATATTTTAAGATAAATTCAATTGTACTAAATTTACATTATAACTAAACATCTTTTTCATAATTTACAGTGAAAAAGTACCACAATTTGACAAAAAAAGTCCAAACAAAAAATTTAAATATAATCCGAACTGTGGTTAAAGAAGTGTCAAATTCAAAAACATTGACGGTGGTGAGTAAGGAATTGAAATGCACAGCCGCTCCATTGCCATACACCTCTGCTTCATTCCACCTTCAACCGGAATCGTCCCACCCTGTAATGGATGCGCCAAACTCCGAACCCGCTTCATCCCAATGGCATCCTCCGCCACTTGCTCCCTGAAAGGCGTCTTGAGGAGGACGGCCGAGCAGCCGCCGCCGCCGAGAACTACGCCGTACCGCCGGAACCAGCACCCGCCGGCGTCGGACGGCACCGTCGACATGGACGCTCTGGTGTTGGCAATCGGGAATACGAGCGACGAGCGAGAGCTCCACGCTCTGATGTCCCCGTACAAAGGTCGAACACTTTCCGTGCGGTTCTTGGCCGCCCTCCTCTCCCGCGAACCCGACTGGCGACGCTCGCTCGCGCTGCTCGATTGGATCCACGACGAGGCTCTGTACGCTCCCTCCGTCTTCGCCTACAACGTCGTCCTCAGAAATGTCCTCCGAGCCAAACAATGGAGCCTTGCCTTTGGACTGTTCGACGAAATGCGCCAAAGAGGTCTTTCACCAGATAAGTACACTTACTCCACTCTGATTACCCATTTCGGGAATGAAGGCCTGTTTGACTACGCCCTATCTTGGCTTCAGAAAATGGAGCACGACCAACTCCCAGGTGATCTCGTCTTGTACAGCAATCTAATCGAGTTGTCCCGTAAATTGTGCGATTACCCGAAGGCAATCTCCATATTCTCCAAGCTAAAGAGTTCAGGGATTGTCCCTGACCTGGTAGCTTACAACACAATGATCAATGTGTTTGGAAAAGCTAAGCTTTTTCGCGAAGCACGGCTTTTGCTGAAAGAGATGGACTCGGCAGGTATCACACCAGACACTGTCAGTTACTCCACACTTCTAACTATGTACGTTGAGAACCGGAAGGTTCTAGAAGCTCTATCGGTGTTCTCTGAAATGAGGGCAGCAAGATGCCCTCTTGACTTGACTACCTGCAACATAATGATTGATGTATATGGGCAGCTTGATGTGGCAAAGGAAGCCGACGGTTTGTTTTGGCGTATGAGGAAGATGGGAATCGAACCTAATGTGATCAGTTACAACACCCTTTTAAGGGTTTATGGCGATGCCGAGCTTTTCGGGGAAGCCATACATTTGTTCAGATTGATGCAGAAGAAGAACATCGTACAGAACGTTGTCACTTATAACACGATGATCAAGATTTATGGGAAGACACGCGAACATGAGAAGGCAAACAACCTAGTTAAGGAAATGGAGACCAAAGGGATCAAACCGGACACCATCACGTATTCGACCATGATCCACATTTGGAGCAAAGCAGGGAAGTTGGACAGAGCAGCGACTCTGTTTCAAAAGGTGAGGTCGTCCGGGGTTGAGTTTGACCATGTTCTATATACGACGATGATCCTGGCTTTTGAACGAGCCGGCCTGGTCGCCCACGCCAACCGTTTGCTGCATGAGCTGAAACGGCCCGACAACATTCCCCGGGAATCCGCTATAACGGTTCTAGCGGGTGCGGGTCGGGTCGAAGAGGCAATGTGGGTGTTTCGGCACGCGGTAGCTGCCAAGGAGGTAAAGAGTGTAGACATTTTCGAGTGCATGATTGATCTTTTCGCGAGGAACAAAAAGCACAAAAATCTCATTGACGTGTACGATAAGATGAGGGAATCCGGGTTTTACCCGGATTCCAACACACTCGTTCGGGTCCTCAATGCGTATGGGAAGTTGAGGGAGTTTGAGAAGGCAGAATGCCTATATAAGGGGATGAAGGAGGAAGGGCGCGTGTTGTTTGACGAAGTCCATTTCAAGATGTTGAATGTGTATGGGGCTTGGAAGGATTTTGAGATGGTTGAGACATTGTTTGAGACACTTTGCAATGACCCTCGCGTTAACAAGAGGGATTTGCATCAAGTTGTTGCCGGTATATATGAAAGAGCAAACAGATTGGATGATGCATCTCGGGTTGTAAACCGAATGAGTGACCCGAGAACCCTTGTTTCATGATGACATTTGCACACTCTCCCTCACATTACTGTTGTATTGTACCTCTCTTTGTATCGATCTTTTTCCCAAAACAACCGAACGGATTGATCAACACCAAAAGGTATAATCCTCTGTTGTTTTTCATATGTATATAAACTGAAAACTGCACATTTTAGGGAACAGAACTGGCTGGATTTGAAGAAGCAGTTGAGCTCATTCCTGTGTTTGCTATACTTTCTTCAAAGTCTGGTTCTTATGAACAATTTTAGAGGTACTTGTGGTAACTGTGGAGGTTCTTAAGAGTCAGTTTACCATTTTGATTAACGTTAGTGGAGTTAACTGTGGAGTAATATTGTGTATTTGTTCACTCTAACAGAATTAGGACTACAATGTATTGCTGTTTTTCTATTTAGAATCTAAACCATCCCAATTCCCAAAGAGGTAAAAGAATTGTAATCCATATAACTACACGTTTTTACGCTGCATTCCCTACTCTTATGAGATCAATTGGGTTCTTGTACAGTGCGTTGAAAAGAAATCAAGTGAAACAACAACAACAAAAATATTACCATAGAGCCTCAAAGGCTCCAGTCCATTGCGGGGTAAGAGGGGTCAGATGTACGCACCCTGACACCTATGTTAAAACATAGAGCGGTTGTTTCTACATGATCCATGATTAGCGTTGAAAGTTGTATTAACTTAGTATTACTCCGCTATCAAAAGAAGAAGTATAGATAATTTAAGAACCATTTTGTTGTATTTCATCTTACTCCAAAGCCAAATCATAGTGAATATTTGGCTCAATGGGAGAAGATCAAAGTATAGTTTTTTTTTTTTTTGGGGGGGGGGAACTAATTTAAGAGATACCAAAATAGAAGTTGATTTGATAAAAGAAAACTCAATTTTTGGAAGAAAATGAGAATCAAACTAGTGAACTACTGTTTATATCGCAGCTCTAGAATTCATTTCTGATGTTGCTTGGTTTAATTTTATGGAAGATGAAATTCACAGAGAGACGGATAGAGGGCAAAGAGAAATGGTGATAAGGCGAGAATGAGAGACGAGAGAGAAGCCAGACATAGATCTAGGTATTAGAGGAGGCGTAAAGATAGTGTGAGAATGGAGGAGACGAAGAGATAAGGCCAGAGAGAGGAGACGAAAAGATAAGGTGAGAGTGTGGCGTAAATAGGAAGCTTGAAAGGTGGTTGGAAAAGTAAATGATTGAGGGGTATTTTTGTCATTAAATATCTTTTTTGGGTGTGTGACAAGTAGTTTTAGGACAAAGGAAAAAAGTGAAAAGATGATTTTAGGACGGAGAACGTAAGATTTTATATTTATTAAGTATGATTTTATTTATAGAAGAAGATACACAAATTCTTATTTTCATATGAACTTAATATTGTAGTCTTACTACAAGGGTATAGTATTTCTTTATTCTTTTTCATAACCACCATTTATAAATTTTTGAGTAAATGATCCTTTTGTTTGTTTAAATATTTGATCAGCAATTGCCCAACTAGCACCAGTGGTCTAGTGGTAGAATAGTACCCTGCCACGGTACAGACCCGGGTTCGATTCCCGGCTGGTGCAATATTTTTTTTGCCTCCCTGTTTTATTTCGTCTGTTCTTTTTATTCCGACCGCGCACATGATCCCCGATTTCTCCTCCTCGTCGGCATTTCTGTTTTCTTAAACAAAACGAAAGAGACTCCTCCTCCCAACGCCTTCTTCCGGCGTCTGCACATTTTCTTTTACTCCGTAACCTTTCTTAAAATGGTTCCTTCGATCTTTTAACCAATCTGTTCCAGAGAGATCTCTGGGATATGGAGATTTTCAAGATCGCCCAAACCGTGAGGCTGAAGAGCCACCACGACAAATACCTATCCGCCGATCGGAACGAGGAATCGGTCATCCAGTGCCGCGACGGCACCACCAAGGCGGCGAGATGGACGGTGGAGTTCGTCGACGGCGCCCACTTCGTCCTCCGCCTGAAGAGCTGCCACGGCAGGTACCTGACGGCCACCGACGAGCAGTACCTCCTCGGCGTCACCGGGAGGAAGGTCCTCCAGACGAATCCCAAGAAACTGGACTCGAAGATCGAGTGGGAGCCCGTCCGGGAAGGGGATCTGGTGAAGATGAAGACCAGGTACGGGAATTTCCTGAGGGCGAATTCGGGAATTCCCCCCTGGAGGAACTCCATCACCCACGACATCCCTCACCGCCACCAAGATTGGATTTTGTGGCTTGTTGAGGTTCTTGAAATCCGACCCGACCCGCCCAAGACTCTGCCCCGATCCGACGACGCCGACGACGCCGACCTGTCCAATTTCCGGCTTACCTCCTCCTCGGTTTCCCGACACTCTGTAAGAATTGTTCCGTTTTGGCTTTCCTAATTTCCCTTTGGTCCTTTATAATTTTTCTTGGACTTACAATTTGAAGCTTGGAGCTTTTTTGTTCAGTTTGTTTCTTGAATGAAAACATTTCATCATAGTTTTGTTGAGAAGTACTTTTAAAGTTTAATTTAAACTTTTGAAGTCATAACTTATAAGTTTAAGCAAATTGTCAAACCCTCAAAATTGTATTTTGGCGATGTAGTTGCTTAAAACTTGTTTCCAAATTCAATCCAAACACTCTCTTAGTGGTCACGAGTTTGAAGCTCACATTCACTTAATTTTTGAAAAGTTGAAGTTCACGCATAACACTCAAACAAAAAAAAACAAATTTTGCCTGCACACAAAGAGGCGAGTTAGAGTATAGAATCTTGTGGGGACTTACAATTACAAATTTGAATTTTTGATTGATTTAGTTTCATTACAATGTGCAGCAAGGGGAGTCGATGGAAGGGTCCGGGGGGAGCGAAGGGCGGTTGATATATTACAATGTGGCGGACGATGAAGGGAATGCCGATGATGCAGTTGAAGAGTCGTCCTTCCATTTCAAAGGGAATGGTTTAGAGGAATTGAGTGCCAAGTTAGAGGAAGAGACGGGGCTTGAAGACATCATCGTATGCATGCGCAACCCTTTGAACGGGAAGGTCTTCCCTCTCCGGTTAGCTCTCCCGCCCAACAACTCAACTATGCACGTCGTCGTTCTTCCTTCCACTTCTAAAGGTTCGTATCGTCTTCTCATTGTTCGCTCTTGAGATAAACAATACTCATAGCCCCGATACCATGTAAAACAAAAGACTTAGACTCAATTCAACTCTAAAAGTTAACTTAAGAGGTTGAGGAGCTCAAACTAATAAATATAGTATATTATTGGAATGTTTAGCCGATGTGGGACGAGACAACTCAACGAATACGACTTGACAAGTGACCTAATTTGTTGGGATGATTCTTTCGCCCTTGAGAATCCAATTGGAACATGGTACATCCCTTTGTCGAGAGCTTTGGGCGAGTACAATAATTTATAGTCTGAATAGGGATGGCAACGGGTCGGGTTCGGGTCGGATAGTACTATACCTGAACCCGACCCGACTTTTAAAACCGAAACCCGAAACCGACCCGAAACCCGACCTTTTAAGCCAAAAATCCGACCCGACCCGAACCCGACATTTCAACCCAAAACCCGAACCCGACCCGAACCCGACTTTTAACCAATAATCAATTCAACGTACCCCAATAATTTAGAAAAGATTAAATCTAATTTTTTTGTTTCTCTTTTTTTATGTCTCATTTTTTATTAAGGGATTATAAAAAGGATAATAAAAGGCATATTTGATATAGTAGCACTTTGTCAAGAGATTATACAGAGTGCTCATTATATTCATAAATAGACTTTTATGTAATAAAATATTCGGGTTTTAGTCGGGTCGGGTGCGGGTTCGGGTCGGGTCGGGCAAAATTATATATCCACACTCGACCCGACCCGATGTCGGGTTCGGATAAAAAATTTCGGGTTGGGTTCGGATTATTTTATTTTCGGGTTCGGATATTTTAGTAGTTGGTCGGGTCGGTTAAGCTCGGGTTCGGGTTGAATTGCCATCCCTAAGTCTGAATGATGTGTCTGTGTCCCCATCTATTACGACCACATCCCGTTCCTGGATTTGTTCCATAACACATTGCTCATGCTCTAGAGGTTGGGGAGTTATCATGGAAGTGTCTAAGGTATAGTTCAGAAGATTTATTTGGAAGAAATTACGTATTTCACTTTTGCATTACCCTAGTTCAAGCCCAATGGCCTAATGGCCTTCATCTACATTCTTTACATAATCACTTGGCTTTGTTGGCGGTTGGTATGAAGCAAATACTTACACTTAATATGGAGAGAAGAAGGTTTTGAAAACTTGAACTTATTCCGACGTGATACTAAACACAATTTCGTTCGTCATCCCTCACTCGTCATCTTTCTTTTCTCTCGAGTTGTGTGAGTCGTTTTCTTTTCTCCCTTAACCCTCTCTCTGTGTACATTGATTTATCTTGATTGCCAACAAGGAATGACGAATGGAATTGTGTTCAATATTACGTCGGAATAAGCTCAACTCTTCAAAACCTTCTTCTGCTCCGTATCAACTTCAGTATTTGCTCCATATCAACAACCGGGAAAGCCAAGATGCTATGTAAAGGATGCAGATGAAGGCCATTGGGCTTGAACTGGGGTAATGTGAGAAGTGAAAACGTGAATTCCTTCAAACAAACCTTCTGAACTATACTTCTATACTTCAGACACCTCTATGATAACTCTCCAGCCTCTAGAGTGTCAGCAATGTGTTGTGGGATAAATCTAGGAATTGATGGTGACACATCGTTCACAGTACAAATTTTGGGCTTCTCCAAAGCTCCCGACATAGGGATGTACCGCTTTCCAACTGGATTCTCATGGGTGAAGGAATCATCCCAACAAATTAGACCACTTCTCAAGTTCTACCATTAGAGTTGTCTCACCCCACATCGACTAAACATGTCAATATTATGCTATATTTAATAGTTTGGGTCCCTCAACCTCTTGAGCTTACTATTGGCATTAAATTGGGCACAAGTCTATTCTTTCACATGGTGTCAGAGCTATGAAGATCCATAAAAAAATAATTATATTCTTAAAGAAAATACGTAGTACTCCCTCCGTCCCAGAGTATTCGTCCAGTTTTGACTTTTGGAACTGTTCATCAAAGCACTTTGACTCATCAAATTCTCTCAATGTGTAAGCCTAAATATAATCATGTGTGATCTTGTTTGATTTTTCTTAACATATAGATTATTAATATATAATTTCTATAATTTTTTAATATACAAATTACAAGATAAAATGGATTAAAGAAGTGTATTGGATGGTGTGTAAAAATGAAAGTGGACAAATACTCTGGGACGGAGGTAGTAATTGTTTTAGTACTGTCAAGTTTGGCGTCATCTCTGAGATTAAAATAACATTTTCATTTTACTATCAGAGCTATGAAGATCCATAAAGAAAATAATTATAGTCTTAAAGAAAATAATTGTTTTGACAGTGTCAAGATTGCGTCATTTCTGAGATTAAAATAACATTTTTTCCTACTTGTCATGAGGTCGGCTATTTAGGATGAAATTGCGCGTGCGTGTGTTGTTGTTGACAGCGGCGAGAGCGTTTCTTCCAGAAAGTTC